TACTATTATTTTTTTCTATATAAAAAATTATTACAACCACGTTCTCATTATGTCTGTGCTGAAGACATTTTATGCTAAAAGTTAAAGGCTCATAGGATTGTCCCATGAGATTAGACGAATTACACTCGAACTAACTCAGACACCCACTAATTATTTTAAAAAAAAAAGGCATAGTCCATTTGTAACTCTGTCCATAAGCGTCTTTGTTCATCTACACTGCCAGCCAACTTAGAAGTTCATTTCAATTTACGAGTGTTCCATGGGATAGTCTATTATGTTATAAGGAATTATAGTTCAATAAGGATAATTCACAGCAGGTCAAACTATTTGTTCTAACATAGAGGAGGGCCCTAGCCAGTTATGTGAGATACACATTATTATTGTGAATATCAAACTTTTGCTATTTTCTGCCTTCTTTTCTTTTCCCTGCCATGAACAATCTAACTTGTTCATTCAAGTCACTCAACAAACATCAAATATCCTTTATTGTAGACTGTCAGTCTTCGATGATGGATTTTGTCTTTTAAAGTAGGTCGAATTTTGAAAATAATGGAACTGATAACCTAAGAGAACTTTTTTCGCCTTGAATGTGGTTTACTTGGCCGTTGAAAGCTTAAATTTTCCAGATTTATGTTCCCAGCATGACTTTTCAACCTTAGGAAGTGTATGAAATCAGCAGCCTGATCAAAAGAATCTTCTCTTCACCCAACATGTAATTCATAATGGATAGATTTGGTGTCAGCTATTCTCTGATAAACTACGTGAGAAGAAAGGGAATCTTATCCCTGGGACAAAATTGATGACACGAATAAAATGAGCGTCTAAATTATCATCTTATAATACTAGACTAGAATAATTGCTAACAACCATAGTATTTGTCGATCTCATGCTTATAGGCCTAATTGTGTTTGTTTCTTGTTCAGGAGAGCCAAAAGCAATTCCATGGACACTTGTAACACCCTTGAAAGCTGCAGCAGATGCATGGTGCCACATGGACATTCGTCATGGTGATGTTGTGGCTTGGCCCACTAATCTTGGGTGGATGATGGGTCCATGGCTAGTTTATGCTTCATTATTAAACAGGGCTTCCATGGCATTATACAATGGATCGCCACTTAGTTCAGGATTTGTTAAATTTGTACAGGTAAACATCATATCAAACTGTAAACCTAATACACAAGTTATTTTGTGAAGCAGCCAGTTTGAACCTTCAATGGTAGTTTTTAATGAATAAATATATCGGTCGGTAATGTTATAAAAAATGTCAATTGGTAATGAAATAAAGGATGGATGTTATTTGAGGCTTTAGATAGATTTAGAAGGATACTGAAAATCAAAAGCTACTTAAATTTGGATAAATTTAGATTTATGCTAATTTGCTCCTTGTTTCAGACCCTTTTTTCCCTCTAATTGCCTCATCTTGGCCTTTCATATGCCTTTAATTTAGTCAATTGGTGTTTAATTTCTTTATTTATATTCTTTTTGTCAGTCTCATGATCTCTGTTCTCCTTAGGATGCTAAAGTAACAATGCTTGGGGTGATTCCAAGTATTGTCCGATCATGGAAAAGTACAAACTGCACATCTGGTTATGACTGGTCTTCCATCCGGTGAGCTTAAGATTTACTCTCCATCTGTTTATGTTGTTTATATAGAATCCTTATGCCTATGAACTTCAAGATTAAAATTGTCATCATAGGTCAGTTTTAATTGTTCGATTTTCTCACTTTTTCTGTTACAACTTTTAGTTGTTTTGCCTCCACTGGTGAAGCATCTAGCATAGATGAATACCTATGGCTAATGGGAAGGGCTTGCTATAAGCCTATCATTGAATATTGTGGTGGGACAGAGATTGGTGGTGGATTTGTTACAGGGTCACTGTTACAGGCTCAGGCATTGGCTGCTTTTAGCGCACCAGCTATGGGATGCAGTCTCTTTATTCTCGGCAATGATGATTCTCCTATTGTAAGAACCGATCAACTCTTCATTTCCAGCGTGGGCTGATTAGTTTCAAGTGGGGGAGAATTTGTATATGTTAATAAAAAAGAGACTTATAACATACTACCTTTCTTCTTTTTTGTTCTAAAGAAAGATTTCATTTTTCAGTTTTCCTTTGTTTCTCATTCATCACATCTCCTTGCTTTTGATTCATTAAAAGGCATCCTATTCATATTAAAAAGAAAAACAATGATGGTGCTGTGATATGTCACCCCTTATTCTTTCCCTCTGTAGCCGCAAAGTATGCCAGGAATCGGTGAATTGGCTCTCGGACCTTTCATGTTTGGAGCTTCAAGTAGTCTCTTGAATGCTGACCATTATGATGTCTATTTTAAGGGAATGCCCCGTTGGAATGGAATGGTAAGCAAGTTTTCTGATGTCCCTTCATGCTTGAGATATGCATCTTGCTCTTAAATTTTACCATTACCACGAAACTCCCTTATCAGATATTGAGGCGGCACGGAGATTTGTTTGAGCGTTCTCCTAGAGCATATTATCGGGCACATGGTCGTGCAGACGATACAATGAATCTTGGAGGCATAAAGGTAATTTTATTTCAGCTTCTTATGGTAAACCGTAAATATAATTTTTTGGCTGAGACTCAATGCTAACAGCTAAGGTCATGACATTGGAAAAAGAAACTTTGACATTGTTGTTGATAAAATAGCCTCTAAAATGATGGAGCCATAGAGATTGTGGTTCTGTTTGTTTGGTTGTTGCAGGAAGCTAAATCTGATGCCTGCTTTCAGAACTAAATATTTTTCGTAATTTAAAATTATATTGAAAGCCAAAGGAGAATGGTTGGATTTTCCGAATAAAATGTTAAATCTCCACGAATATTTGCGAAGTACCAAGAAAGGAAATTAAAATCTGCTTCAGAGGATGAATGCTATCTTTTAATGTCAGGTTTACGTAATCTGACATATTAGACAAACTTTTGGCGCTGCCCCTCGCCCTGAATGAAATTTACTTTATTGCAAATACACAAAATATTGATTAGGACAATATCAAAACCGCCGCCTTATAGCTAGCTGGTATAGAGACCCCAAGTATGCAGATGCAACCGGAGGGTTCTTTTATCTTTTTTTTTTTTTTTTTTTTTGGTACAGCAATGAGTGGGGTGACGTTGGGATTCGGTCGTCTGAATTTTAGAGAAGCTACATATTGGTATCTTGACTAGTTGAGTTATTTTTAGATTGATCAGATCTAACCACGATCTGTAATATACTTATTCTCAGGTCATCAGTTCATATGTTCTGGTATAGTCTTCTAGTTCCAAATGTATTTAGCTCATAACACGATTTATCCTTTTCATGCAGGTGAGTTCAGTCGAGATTGAACGAATCTGCAATACGGTTGATGAAAGCATTCTTGAAACAGCTGCCATCGGGGTACCGCCACATGGTGGTGGCCCCGAACAATTGGTGGTTACAGTTGTATTCAAGAATCCCAGTGATACTAGCCCAGATTTAGATAAGTTGAAGCTGTCTTTCAATTCAGCTCTGCAGAAGAACCTCAATCCATTATTCAGGGTAGGATTTCTACTAAGCTCATTTGGAAAATGCTTAGCTTGCCACCCCGTACGAGCTCTTGCTAACTTCTTAATGTGGCGTATTTTAATTCGTCTATTTCTTATTCTACTAAAATTTTCTAACCAATAAAAATTCGTCACATCATAAAGTTAGTAAGAATTCCTACTAACAGGTGTGTAGGTAAGTATTTTCCTTTCGATTAAAGAATAATTAGTGGTGATGAGTTTACTTCATGTGATATGTTCGACAGGTTCACCGTGTCGTTCCTTATCCTTCCCTTCCAAGGACTGCAACAAATAAGGTTATGAGAAGGGTATTGAGGCAACAACTTGCTATTGAACACAAAACAAAGCTCTGAATTGCATACCGATGAGAAGCACTTTAAGAGTAAGCAAACGGTCTATGAAGATAAAGATGTTATTTTACTTTAGAGACTATTGTGTCTCTTCTCGAATAAACCGAACTATCTAAATAATTTATGACCGGTTCTTGATCCGAACGAGTCTAAGATGATAGAAACAAAAATTTTATATTATGAAAAAAAAGAACTCGTTGGGAGCAAGACAATTTTTTTTTTTTCTGAGATTTCAATGTTCTCCGTATTTGGATGAAAAAGGATAAATAATAGTTTATAATAATTCTCGTATCTTAAGATATAACTTTGTAATTAATTTAAAAAATTGAACCAGTAAAAAGCAAATTCAAAATAATTAAGAAAAGATAAAAGTTAGTAACCAATAAATAGTTTTATTCACCCTTGTAATATGAAAGAGAGAGAGACTTTTAAACAAAATTATAAAAATCAAAGCCAATTTTTTAAACTTAAAATGCTACATTAACATAATCAACATAATTTAAAATACCTAACAAAAATCACATCTATATTATATTGGAAAAGAATGAAAATTTTTAATATGTTAAATTTTTCTAAAATGAAAATAAATAAAATGTCAAAAATACTCCTTTAGTCTCAGTTTTGGTCTCTATGCTTTTAATTTTGATTCATTTTATTTTTTATTATTTGCTTTGGTTATTGTACTTTTTAAAAATGATCATTTTGGTTATTTAATTTTATTTTTTTTAATCATAATTTCAATCCAACGCTATATTTAATATATTTTTTGAAATGTAACTATGATATTAAAGGATTTTTGTTATGTGTAAAATTTGTGTTAAAATTTAAAAAATGAAGGACTAAAATGATCACTTTTTAAAAGTACAAGGACAAAAGCGAACATTTTAGAAATGCAGTAAATAAAATAAATATATAGATGAAAATAGTATTTTAACCTAGATAACAATTTCGAAAAAATTCCCTATACTACACAATAAATAAAAGGAAGGGACCCCAAAATATTGTGAATACAGTCGTAACAAGGAGTAAACTGGGGACTATGGTAATAGTAGCTAGCAATTTTCCATTGAAATCATCTCTGGCAAACGACGACGTATTATGTGTGGTGGGTGAGTACCGAGCTAGAAAAGCACAAAGCGCATCTTCTGGTTCTCCTCCCTCCCATTCTCCAGTCGCCCGCATTTCACAAAATCCATTTCTGGGTTTTCACCTCCATCCCTCATGCTCTCCATGAAACCCTTAAATTAGGGTTTCGTTTTACTTCCTCTGCGTTCTCTCTCTATCTCTGAAGAACAGCAACAATGGCTTCCGTTTCGCTAACTAACCTCGATTTGGCGGCCCCTTTCCTCGGCCAAAAGCTGTAAATTCCTCTCTCTATTGTTTCTTCAACTTGGGAATTTAACGAGTTATGGCTTATTTGTGTGGTGCGTTTCTGTTGTTTTCCAGGTCTGGTCGCGTTAATAGGGTGAAGGGCAAGCCATTTGGTGTGTTGTTTAAAACCCCCAAGTGTGTTTTGGATACACCGTATGAAGGTACCTTCTATAATCTTTTCTCTTAATTCTCGAAGCAATTTTGATTGTGCGTGCTTAGTGTAATATGGGGCTTCCCCATCCTCTGTTAACTCCTGCGGCAGAAAGTTGAATTGCGTGGTTCACTATGTTGCTATAGGATATAAATTGTAAGTTGGGAAGAATGAATATTTTGGTTTTGGGTGTTGAATTCCCGTTTTATGATCAATTGTCTGGAGCCCAGACAGCGTCGTATTGATTGATCATTGCTGCTTGAATTGCTTCCCTTCAGTCTGCTTCTCTCTTTAAAAATGATGTGATTGTAAGAACTTGGGGTTTTCTTAGTTTCTAGAAATTAATGTGACATTATATTTGATATAGTTACCTTGATTATATAGCTTGGGTGTTGAATTCCCGTTTTTTCCGGTCTTGAAAACATTCTTTGTTTTTCATGGCTGCTATTGTATTGTTAATGCTATTCGTCCTTAATTCATTACAGGTAATGTCACAAAGTTCCCTCGAATTCGTGTTTGGGACCCATATAAACGCCTTGGTGTTAGTACTGCTGCTTCGGAGGAAGAAATTTGGAGTGCACGGAATTTTCTTTTACAGCAGTATTCTGGTCATGAGAGAAGTGAGGAATCTATAGAAGCTGCTTTTGAGAAAATATTGATGGCAAGCTTCCAGCATAGAAAAAAGACAAAGATTAATTTGAAAACCAGGTTGAAGAAGCAAGTAGAGGAATCACCGCCATGGATTAAGAACTTGCTCAATTTTGTGGAACTTCCTCCGACCGATGTTATTTTCCGAAGATTATTTCTTTTTGCATTTATGGCTGGCTGGAGCATTATGAACTCTGCTGAAGGTGGACCTGCTTTTCAGGTCAGTTCATTATTCCTCCAGTAAACATATTTGTTTCTTTTTAGCAACTTCATGGAATCATGGTTATTTTAGCTTCTTCGACTGTTACAATGTCTTCATTGGCCTCGATAAGGGTGTCTCCGTTTTGAAGTAATCAAAGGCTATAGAATCGTAACTGTGTTATGTATGTTAGAGTGGTAAATGAAGAAAGGGTACATGGAATTATGCCATAAAGTGGATGCTTATTCCCTTATCATGTCAACAATTCCTCCAGACATTAATGATAATCATTAATAACCTTAAGGATAGGAGAAAGGGGGAAAGCAGAGAGAGTTCATGGTTATAATTTCATCTTCACCGGCCACTATAACATTGTAGTCTATCCTCTCCTCTAGTTATCCTTTTTGTGACAGTGATTGTAGCTTCTTTGAATTCAAATTCTGAATCTAGATTATCATCAAGGGAAAATAATGTTTTGAGTTAGTTCTGCTATGTTTTGCAAGATTTGGTATTAAAGAGAATACTTTCGGATGAAGATGGGTGCACAGGATTTTTGAAGAAGAATTATAGATTACTAATTTGAATTTTTCCTGAACTGTATATATTCTTGTGCTTTATGGATTTAAGATAAAGGCTCTGCTATGCTTGGCTTGTTAATCCACTAATCCTTTCGACAGAATTCAACCTTTGAATGTATGCTGTGAACTTTGAATTGGGTTTATATATTATATCATATTCAATAAGTGATCAAGATGCAGGAGTTTATCTTAGCTTTGTTGCTCTTTCTGTTTAGTCAAGTGTTTTTCGAATTATTTCACTTTTTTCTTCTTTCTTCCCATTCTTTGATTTAGATAATCGTGAGATGATGAGTACTTAAAGTGCTTATCTTTGCGTTGACTATCAAGTTTCTTGAAGAATGTAAAAGATATTTAGTTTTCTGCCAATCTCTCTTCCTTGTCAAAAATTTAATGATGGTCAGAAAAAGATGATGGATGCTGACTTGTGAGTATTGAGGTATTTTTGTGGTAAGATACCATTTGTATGCTGTGATATCAAAAATTACTAAAATTGCACTTGATTCCCCTTCACCAGTTTTAACATTTAATAATATCTGCATCATTTTAGGATATTGTAGAGAAGTTTTAGGGCATTGACAATTGACATCTCCAATTAAACATGGTATATCCATCAATGCAGGTTGCAGTGTCCTTGGCGGCTTGCATATATTTTCTAAATGAGAAAACTAAAAGCTTGGCTCGGGCTTCTATCATTGGGTAAAACCTTTACAAACTGCTGTTTTCATTTCATATCTTTGAACAAAAACCCAGTTACTCATCTGCTCTCTCTCTCTTTGCTGTTTTGCAGACTTGGTTCTCTTGTGACCGGTTGGGTATGCGGTTCTTTGGTCGGTCCAAGTATTCCTTCGGTTCTACTGCAACCGACATGGTCGCTGGAACTACTTACATCTCTAGTAGTATACGTCTTCTTGTTTCTTGCCTGTACTTTTCTCAAATAGATGTCTCAGTTACATTTGTTGCTTGTGCTTAGTTTATGATCAAGTAGTAATGAGGAATGGAATTAATGGGGGAATTTTCAGATATTATTGATTGGAGCTATCTGTCCTCCTCCCTTGTTCTTTGATTTTCATCAAAACTTTTATCACCATTTTAGTCTTCTAAATCTCAAAAAATAAGCCATCTGTTGGTGTGTTTCCCTTCAAAAAAATTCTGTTTAGCAGATCAGTAATTTTTTTTAAAAAAATTGAAAACTGTTCAGAAATGTACCCTTTGTCATTATGCCTTTATTTTCCCTGTATATTAATATTATAAAAAAAACAAACAAACATACTATACATTGCATTAAGGGTTTCTAAAAAATTTGTAGAAACGATAAAATATTGTTGCTGTTTAAGAATTTTGACGTAACCAAAATGATGCTTAAGAAAAAACGTTGTCGCTCAGATTTGTGGTGATTAATGGTAATGAGAAACGTTTCCATTGTGCCTGGTTACCATTAAGTTTTTTATCAGTAAAAGAAAGAAACGTGTAAAATAGATATTTTTCTAATTTTTTATAATTAAAAAACTTTAAAATTTTTATTAGCGGCACGTAATTGTTGTTCTAAAATTATTGCATAAGATTTAATTGTAATTAAGTATAGTATGAACTGAACCCACTTAATTTTAATATCAAAACAAAATTGTTATCCAATCCCTTGTTTTTATTTTTTTTATACAATAAGCAGCAGATGTGGTGATTTAAACTCATACTAATTACTGTTGTTGAACTAAGTTTATGTTGATTTTTTTTAGTACAATTGATATAATAGGGGTTGGAAAGAGTAGATGTGGGAGCAATTTAAATGCTTTATTTAAGTTGCTCAACATATTAAAATCTGGAACATGCTATGTACAACAAATTAGATTAACATAATAGATCCATACAAAGAAAAATCAGATTAACCCAATTCTACGTAGATCCAAATCATGTTAACAACGTAACTAACTTAAAGTCAATATAATATTAATATATATCAGTCAAATCTATCCATAATCTTCTTCAATAAATAAAATAAAAAAGACGCAACAAAATAATAAAATGTTAAGCAGAACCTGTGCGCTTGGTACAGGACTTATTGTTCCTTGTGGCGCAGCAGCCGATGCAGTAGACGATAGTGACGAAGGCAAGAACACAGCAGTTGAGAATGGCGAAATTTCTCCACTCCTTCCTTATGTTCGCCAGCACTCCTCCTTTGCACGAATCGCACCCGTAGCACCGCGTCTCTTGCTCGTTGCTCCATTTTCTGCAATCGCCCTCAGCCGCCGTACCCACCGGCCCCGATTTCGGCACCGTCCAGAACGTCGCATTCTTGAACTCGAATCCACACTCCGACGGCGGCTTACAGCACCCGGACTTCACCAAAATGTAGATCATCAAAACAGTTCGTTACCACAACGGTATGTATGCATAAAACATTAGAAGAACACAAATTCGGCTAACATTTAGATTTTAGAACACGAACACTTGGATGTTAGTAAAGTTTTAGTCCTAAATTTTAACATGCAACCGCTTCTAAACTTCCGTAAACATTTGTAACGGTTAATCTCTACTGGAAAATTTTCAATAAATTAAAAGGACGATCAATGATCGATTTAGACTGTAATTTCAAAATTCATTTAGTTCTTGAGAGTTCGAATGATCTAAGGAACTAGGTTATTGTAAATTTCAAATGTCGATCGAGATTAAATCCTTACAAATTTGTATTCATAAAACCATCACATACTAAATTTAGTCTACGAAATTGCTTTATCAAAATAAGAAAAGAATCACGAACACGGTGAAAACCCTAGGCGTAGGCATAAGTTCGTACCTGAATAGGCGACAAATTCTTCTTGTAAAACTCATCCCGTACTATAGGGCCATTATTACCTAGACTCTCACAGACCTTAGCATCAACCAAACAACTCCTTATCTCATCCCAATTCTTCGCATTCACAACATATTTCTGCAACCAATTCGAATAATCCCCGAGCCGATACTCCTTATATCCTTTCCCCGACACCGTCCTTCCGACGCCTTTATTCGTAACCAACAGAGCGAATATCGTGAAGGCGATTATCCCGACGATCAACAGAAACAGAACCGTCAGGTATATGTAGAGTAGGGAATTGAGTCGGCAGAAGGATCCTACGAGCCCTAGCAGCGACATGACGACGAGGAAGATTCCGAGTATTAGAAGAGGGTTTTGAATGACCTTCTGGCAATCGGAGACGCCGCCGCGGATGCGGGAGTAGATGGAGGCGCCGATTGCGATTAGGCCGACGGCGAGAGTGCAGCAGTTTATGATTCCGACCACCGTGTTGCTCAGGCGAGGCATTTCGTTAGAGAGAGAGAGAGAGAGAAGAGAGCGGAAGAGAGGGCTGTGCGCTGAATTTGTAACTGCGTAGTGTAATTTTCATGCAGCGAACGAACGGAACGGTTTATTTAATTTAATTTCTAGTTTTTTCTTTCTTTTTCTCTGTATACAGTTAATCTGCACGTGAACTGCACCCACGCACGCACGAAATGGATTGTGGTTTTTTTCCTTGTCTGGAATGTGCCACGTGGCAGCCGTATAGATTGCCACGGTTGTTGGACCGCCACGTTGAAATTGTCAAAATTACTGAAGCCCCTCCACTCCAACAGGGAATTGGTTCACGGTTTTCATGAAATGAAAACGAACTAGAATTTTCTTTAATTTTCTTCTTTTTGTTACTTTTATCTTCTGAACATTAAATTTATTTACTTTTAGATTAAATTATAACTTTATTCTAAGGAATTTCAAGTTTATGTCTTCGTTTACTTCAAATGATGTTTAATAAATTTCAGAGCTTTTAATTTTGTAGCTCAAGTATTCCAACGTTTTTAAAAATGTCTGATCGATTCCTAAATTTCTTTTTTCGTGTCTAATATGTTTTTATATTATTAATATTTTATTTAATAAATCATTGATGTAATTGACATTATTTTTTAAATTCACGAACTTAAAACCCAAAACTAAAAGTTTTTGACCTATTGATACAAAATTCAATTTTATGTCAAATAGATCCGTTAATTTTATAAAAAAAATGAATATATTAAAGAATACAATTTTAAAGTTCATAGATTTATAAGTTACAAAATTCAATTTTATGTCAAATACATCTGTTAATTTTATAAAAAAAAAAGGTAAATATATTAAAGAATACAATTTTAAAGTTATTTATAAGTTACCAAATAGTAAGAGTGTCTTTTTCTTTAAATAGGTGCCAAAATTTAGCAAGTCACTTGAATTGATCTAAAAAAGAAAAATAATGGCGAGTAATTACTCGACATAGTCCAAATACCTTTTAATAGTTCATAGTTGGATCGAAATTAGAAGGCCATAGGCCATGTCTAAACATTTTTTCAGAGTCTTGAATCGAGCTCTTGGCCCATGTCATTTGTGGGCTTTTTTGGCCCAAAATATATAGAAATGGGTCATCTTGTTAAAGCCCACAGAGGCAACTGCTCCTTGTTATGTTAGAATAGAACAGCCATCGGCTACCTAACTCGAGAGGCCCACATATTTCAAAAGTGGGTTTGTAGGACCCACCTCTCCAGCCTAACCCTATTTTAAAATAAAATAAAACAAAATTGAATACTTAGAATATAATTAAAACGTATTTTTTCGATAAACTAAAATCATCTTTTAGAAAAATCAAGAAATTTTTAGGAGTTCATCAGATTTTTTTCTATATTTCTTTGGTTATTCTATCCGACATGGTAATCCAGGGGGAAGATGAATTATTCTTAAAAGTGAAGAAAGAAGCTATCGGAAGGAAATTAGAGTGAAATTAAGTAGACAATAGAAAAATAAGAGATCTTATTGTTAGAACGAGATAGCTACTTTCAAAATATTAATCATACTCAATGAATATCTTAAAATATTGAATAAAAGGTCATCTCAACTACAGTGGTGAGTAAAGAATATCGAAAAATCAATTTAACTTATCAAAACTGACAAACGAGGTTGACCAATGGATTTTATAATGAATTCTATCGAAAATTACAAAACCAACTTACCGGTTGATTGGTTTGGTTCGAAAGTGATTTGTGACCAAACCGATCGACCTTCAATAATTGATTTTCAAGATTTTAATATTTTTCATCCTTTTTTCAATGTTGTTTTCTTCAATATTGTCTCCCTCCATCTTACATTATATTTTTCTTCTATTAGCATCTCCTTCTCTCAATCTCACTTCTGATGCTTCTCTCGATTCTCCTTTCAAGTCTCTCCACTTTCTCCACCGTAGCGTGATAGTAAGATTATTCTTTGTATTTTTTTTATTCATCTTTAGTTCCTATTTTAGTTCTTCTCCACTTTTCTAGCGTTCTTATTTGTAATTTTCTCTTTTAACATTCTTCTTCATATATATCGTTTTAAGCCAGAAATCGACTGACCAAACTAATAAGTCGAGCTAATGAAGGAAAGAAAAAATGGTCAGTTTCCATGCAGTTTTAGCATCTGTTTTGGTCAAAAACCGACTTGACCGACTAATGATCACCCTTGATCTCACACATGGTTGTGCGGAAAAAAAAGGGGAAATTTTTTTTTTTGAAAATTAAGGTTTGTTTTTCTTTTTTGGTTAAGTAGATCATACATGACCTGCCCACCTAACCTGGCGGCCGAATCTGTAGTGCGTCACTGTTCATCGCCAACAACAACAACCACGCAGCTCTGCTTTAAACGCCTTCTCCTTTTCGGCGGACTTTCCCACTCTCTCTCCTTTCTCTTTTATATATAATAAACATCCCATTCC